GTGATACTGGGCGCCCCTGCCTCCGGCAAGGGCACCATGTCATCCCGAATTGTCGAACATTTCAAAGTGGCTCACATATCTAGCGGTGACAAATTACGTGTTCACATGACCAGTGGTACCGGTACGTGCAGAAATCCACTAACCGTGGATTACACAGTCGCTTAAGTCGTCTCGATAAAAATCTGGGATCAGTTTTGTACATCGAACCAATATTGCTTCTCTGATACAAGACTTCAGGATCTGGTCGACGTTATCAAAAGCATATTTCGGTTCTAGGTACATTACTTTAAACTTCAATGTCAATTTCATAACACATTTATTGCGAAACGTCGAAGAACACTTGTTCTTTCGATGTCGTCCGATTAATCAGGTCACGACTAGCTTGTTTAATGATTTTTCATTGATCTCAAAGCGCTACTCGGCGATTCAATATTAAATTATAAATTGTAATCGAAATTAAGACATGACACTGATAATGTCACTTTTTTTTTTATCGATCTCTTTAGACTTTTTTCTTATTCGACTTTAAAGAAATGCATGGAATAGTAACAAGTGTTCTTTTATGGAGAAACGGTATACATCGAAGTAATACTACATGGTTAACAGTAGATTAATATTTTTACATTTTTCTAACTGAATAGTAAACCAAGTAAAATCTTTTCTAAAATTAAGATCCATATCGATCGCTTCGAGAGACGAAAGTATTCTGACGTGATTTCGTTTAATTCGCTATAAATTATAACTTCCCTCGGAGGAGGGTACTCTATCACGAGGAGAGTTAAATTGGACACGATTAGATAGTCCCCTACTCTCGATACCGATATTATTTCGAAGGATGCCATTATCAATTTATTCACCCTCCTGTTTACAAACATCGAAGTCGAATAAAGTACACATTAATTCTATTCACAAAATTCCCTCATCGAAAGAACGAACCATCCGCCGAGCAAGTGTAATTTATTTGAAAAAGATCCGCAAGTTATTTCAGAATTTTATTTCTTGGCAAGCGAGTTGCAAACATTTATATACACGTTAAAGTAATTTATACTTAGACCAACGCTAAATAAATAGCGGCGCGCGTGTAAATTTATTTTTGATGCACGGGTACAACTTTTATCATCCGCTCCAAAGTGCACTGCAATATTAATCGATGATAAACAGTCCGATCGTGACCGCAACCCACGAATGTATTTTTCCTTTCCGTTGATACAGAATTGGGCAAGACCGTATCGAGTTACGTGCTGTCCGGCAAATTTGTCCCCGACGATGTGATGATCTCGATGATAAACAAGGAAATCGAAACGGTGAACGACAAAAATTGGCTGTTGGACGGTGAGTGATAGGATAAAATTGTATCGGCGACGGCGATTGGGGTGACCTTGAACGAGGGTGGCCACGCGTATGCAACTAAATTTGAATAAATAGTTGGCATTGACACAGGATTCCCGAGAACGTTGCAGCAAGCGGAAAAGCTGCAGAAAGTTCATCCCGTGAACCTTGTCCTCTACCTTGACGTGCCGGTGTCAGTGATTCTGAAGCGCGTAGAGAACAGATGGGTTCATTTGCCCAGCGGCAGAGTCTACAATATCGGATTCAACAGTCCCAAAGTGCCAGTAAGTGGGAATAAATAGTTAACTCTGATTTGAGCTCCGTACAATTTAGAGAAAAGCCTATCCCCCGTTTTACCTGGTAATTGATTCTAATTAAAGACACGTCGGACCTTTTCACAGGGCAAAGATGATGTAACCGGTGAACCGTTGAGCAAAAGAGAAGACGATAAGGTAGAGATCGTAAAAAAGAGACTGGACAGGTACATTGCCGAGAATGAACCTATTTTAGCTTTCTATGAAGGTATTGGTATATTGAATACTTTCCGCGGTAATACTACAGACGAGCTATGGCCGCACGTCAAGGACACAATCACGAAATTTTTATCATAGCCGACTAATCGCTAGAGCGTACCTCTATGTAAAAAAAATGCGTGTTGAACTAGTGGAGTATCCAAACTGATAGCGACCATATGCTTCCAATAGGATGTAATAATAGTACTTTATGTGTGCATACATATGTGTAAACCGTGTGACTGTATGGAAAATCAGAAAGGTCCATAATGTATTTTTCTGTCGTTTTTCGTGTATGTACACGTACATACAACATTTCTTATCAATATAGTACAAAGTTGTTCAACTTTTAAACGTATACAACTTTCACTTGCTTTACGAGCATCGTATTTTATACTATGTCTTCAACATTCTGTATCACGACGCACACCTTATTTTAATATTGTCACATCAGATTTGACATGTTATGTTATGATAAGAAAGAAACAAATATTCTAACAATAACACGAAAGAACGTTGCCAATTGTAAATACGCTAATTTACGTAAGTTAGCAATGAGTTCGATTTGTCATTTTTTTATGGAAATTATTTGTAAGTATGGTATATTGTAATACAAATGGGATCAAAGAAATTGGAGCTATGAAATAATTGTTGGGCTTGTGTAATGCAAATGTATTATATATTCTGTTTATAATTGTTCTAGAGAAAATAAAGTGAATTTGCGACTCTAAAGAGGTAATAAACATTGAAAGTTTACTCTTATAGCTCTTTTCCTTTTATTTGTAACTGTACCGATATAAGAATTTTAACAATTTTTAATTGTGTACAGACCTATTAACAATATGAGAATAATATACATTATATATCACACTCACATTCTTATTCTTTTTCAATTCTCGAAAAAAATTAAGGTGACTCCTCAGTTAATAACAGTAGCCTTAATATTACTACAATATACGTTTGGTTAATCGCATATTTCTTTTTCATAACATAAAACGTTATGTCGAATGCAATAATAAGGCGCGACAAAGCGCGAGAACTTAGTATAAGTTCAGAACAGTCGTCAGAAGCAAATATTAGTATATTAAATAAATAAATAGATAACTTAGAATGTTTCGTTATGAAAAAAAATTTGATGAAATTCATTCGAGCTTAAATGTTCGTTTTGAAGGTAGATATGGTTTGTGTCTCACGCGCATTTTTTGTTGATCGATGAAGGAATGAAGTATGGTCATGTTGCAAGGAATTACAGTATTGCTGCATTATAAATTAAGTTATATCAGGAACATTTCCATACGGAGTTAAGAAATGTTATAAAAATTACTCTTCATAGCAAAAATCGTCAACTTACGATCTACGCAAGTCTCGACGTGATCGTCGACGCGAACGCGTCAAATAAATATTTCTTCGAAATAATCCTAGTATAATTATAAATCGTACGCTAAATTAATCTAACAATTCTTAAAGGCAATCAGTTTTCTACTTTTCTTTTGAGATCAAAAAAACAACGTAACAAAATGTTGTGCAATAACGTATAAGATAGAAAAGCCGCATTAAATTATGATCACAGAATTATGTGTTGACGATGATAACGCTCTTTTAAGTCTACATACTCTGTTTTTTTTATCGTGAATGGAAAATATTTGATGTACTTATTCGTGTCATCCTATAGACACGTTTAGATCTAAAGAACGGTGGTTCCTTCTCTTTTTTCTTGCGGCACAAATTCATTTCACAAAGTAAGATTTAACGTCTAATATTATGCAAATCTGTATCTACTGAAGTCATTAATTGAATATCTTTCACTGTACATGTGTGGACGAATGAAAGGAGAATTACGATGAATTTAATATTATCATCTTTCTCCGAGAATTGTCTTTAAGTATTCAATGTTTGAATGTACGTTGGTACATGTCTCATTGAACCAATTTGAACTCTTCACACTCATCGAGGTCATCATCGTACGATTCGTTACCTGTAAAAGAGGTAGTAGACGGGATATTTTCTGCAATTTCAATTTTTTGATGGAGATCTCTTCCACTCCCTTCACAGAACAAGAACATAGGATAATCAACTTTCTCATCTTCGGGCACCAAATACTGTAACATCGACATATTCGTTGGTTTTCTAAATCGAGTTAACTAGTCTCGTATAGTGTTATATAGGGAGCAGTTATACATACGGAGGGAGCAATCTCCATAAAGTTCGTGAACTGGATTTTGGTATGGAAATAAAATCCAACGCAACAGCTGGGATCCATTTTTGAAATCAACATCTTTCTCGGCGAAGTACAATGAAAACTCGTTAGAGGGAAATTATCTTTTAATACATCAACAGTTTCTTGACAATAATGTGGATCTAAGTTAATCAGTTTATCTTCCTGGAAACCAATGAAGTATAGCGAGTGTCTGGGTCGACCACCAATAACTCCAATACAGGTATCTAAGGTAAGTAAATGTGTCAAACAAGATGCATAGATAGGATTCAATTTGTCAGCACCAAGCCTTAAAGGTACGAAAAGAATAAGAGATTTCCATTTGCCATCAGGCATTTGACATACACTTTCAACATCCTGCAGGTAAACTGTAAGAAAATGATACGAATTAGATTCAAAGAGTACATGGAATTCATAAGACTGATATTTACTTCAAGGGTGGTTTAAATTTGATCTTTGTTGCAGGAATCGGAGGCAAGAAAAATTAAGACAGGAGAGATTCTACTCTGAAGCAAGTCTTACATCTAAAAAAAACACCCTATAGATAGCTCAGATATTTTATCACCTGCACAGTCTTGAGCAACATAAACAGCCAAGTTACTGAATACTGGGTGGTGTTCGGCCGCATTCTCCACCGCTTGACATAATAAATGTGCAACAGAGGATGGTCCATACCAATCTCCAGCACGTTTTCCCCACAATGCACTCAAAGATACAAGCGCATGTATCGAAAACGGAGATATACGTTCAGGTAGATCTCCGAACGATTTTATAATTAGTCTATGATTATATTCGTCCAATTGTTGTTGTTGTGTTTTTATCGGCTGGTCGGGCTGCCACCGCCATTCTGTAGCAAAAGGTTACTATTAGTCATAGTTATTATCTTACAATAGACATGCGTAAATTCATGAAAAGGAAATATGTGCCTCTTCCAAGAAAATGGCAGACTAGTGCCTGTGCCAACATCATCTGACCACTACGTAGCATGCAACCCCAGCCACAGTCAGTGGTAAATGTAGATCCGTTCAAAATAGGAAATTCTCTTCTATATGTTAACCAAAGTCTAGACATGAAGTCTTTCTTAAATTCCTCTATACCATCCTCAAAACTAATAGCATCTATTGCTAAAGATATTTCGCTTCCTGTGTCTAATGTTTTCTCAGCCTCTGAAGCCTTTTCCAAAAATTCTTCTGGCTTTTTTCTATAAATTTTCCCAAGCAAAAATACTGGTGATTCTTTGGAAAAGTTTGGTTTCACCATCTTTATAGTCCAACCTTAGAATAAAACAAAATTCGACTTATACTTTGTTCTAATACAAATTTTAAACTCCAGCCTTACTATACTGGTCACTCTGATACTAGTTTAATTATTTTATTGATAGCAAAACATAAATAGGGAAGTTAATGATGAATGTTCTTAAAATACTAAATCTAAGTGTTTAAAGAAAGAGGCAGTTGAAAATATTCATTGCAATTGAAACTGTAATTCTGACCATTCTATTAAGTTGAAATAGATTTTAATACTACTAACCATATTTGACATTATTCCACATAGACATCAGCTTTGTCTTGACTTTACTATCGACCTCTGTTGCAACATTGCAATCATCCATAGGCAATCCATTGTTTGTAATGTTGAGTTGTATGTTTGGGACACGATCTGTGGCAATCATTCCAGAAAACAATCCTATTGTACTATTACCCAAACCTCCTATAAATCAAAATACATTTCATGTCCAAGTGTTACCAATTTTAAAGTATTTCAACATACAAGTGTCTAAAAACTAAACAGTTGCTTAACACTGAGTTACAACACAAACAAAATTCACAGAAGCGGTCATAGTCTGCAATCACAAATGATGAAACTATAAACGCATGTACATCATGGTCTAACAAAGGAAATTTACATCCTAGGCAAATAAATTTTAAATAAAAGTGACCTTAAAATACATAAGAATTGGCAATTACAAACAAAGCTTAGAATATTGGTTGCTGGTTGCAGATACTTCTCACGAAAGATATAAAATCCTGCAATCGTGGAATGAATTTTATTTTTAATTTCATTAAAATCTATTCTCAATTTCCAAAGAAGAAACAAATAAAAACGAGACGGTTGATCATTAGCATCCAATATTCCAAGGGTTGTTTATACTCACCATACCTGAAAGCGAACGTGCAATTTCACCGAAGAAAGTCTCCACTGAGTCACGGTTTTCCTTTGAAACCACGTATGACACTTCAAAAGGAAGCAGAGTAGCAACGCGTTTCTAAGAAACTTCTGATTCGACTCGCAGCGATATCCTTACCTAACCTCTCCCTGGAGGGTTGCACCTGTCCATTCATGCCCAACAAGTAAATTTTCGAAAGCATCCACCCCGAGACATTTAAGTAACCGCAGGAGGAGGAGCAGAAAGAAGAAGAGGAAGAAGAAGAAACGGACGACCAATCACATTTTCATTGGAGCACGATTATGCCGACGAGGAGGCTTCGTTCATTTCGTCTGGTCTCGTTCCTTGGACACTGTACACTCGACAGGACAATCGAACGCGAAGCTGTGTGCATCGGTTAATGCACGCGGCAAAGTATCGCGCAAGGCTCGTTCACCGCGGAGCCCCACTGTCAACCGGACGTCCCATTCTCTCGGCAAAAGTGAAATACCAGCTCCGTAAGACACTCGAAATAGAAGGCGGAACGAGGAGAGAACGGTTTTATCGTTATAAGGACGTGATGCGACTGGCAAATAAAACGCGGGACAACAGGCGAGAGGGAGCGTTTCGAAAATAGGATTAAAGAGACCGTGCCCGACCGTGATGGTAGGAAAGGGACGCGTGTTTACAAAGACGCGTCGCGTGTGAAATTTAAAGCGCCCGTTGAGCGCGACCGTGCCGCCGCCTGCCGGGAAATTCGAACAGCGGCTCCGTGCACGCGAATTGCATCGCTGGCACGTACGGATTGCGCTGACCAGATCTGATTTCGAAACTACGCTATCTTATCGGGCCGCACACATGCTCGGGGAACGTTTAATCGTGCGGCAAACAAGATGTAACAGAAAGAAAAGAAAACAAACAATCGATATTACTCCTCGTTTATTCCTTTATTATTTTCTTTTAGTCGAGATAATCGTACTGCCTCTCGATATTTCGTTTGAATTAGTCCAAGATAATGAATACAGAAAAAGTATATGTATATATATGTATATAGATGTTTTTGTTATTCTGAGTCACGCTTTTCAATTCTTTATTAATTGTAAGATTAACGAACATAGTGTTTCTTCGATGAAAACATGTCGATGAGAATTCTCGTGATACGATTAATGATAGTGAATTCTTGTAACAAATTCTATCTTTTCAATGGATTTCCGGTGCGTCACGGTTTCCGATGATTCCGCCATTTTCGAGATGCTGAACTTTTAAACCAGTCTACGAAGACTGTCTGTAACGTGACTCGCGGTTTTCTCGTTAATTTAATCAATCCGCGCTGATGATTCTACAAATAAGGTGTATTCACGTTAATTGAAACTTATAATTTATTTAATCGGCGGTATCACGGCACTGGAAACGGATCTTGAGTACTCCGTAAACTGAGCCGCCATTCCGTTAATTAATACCGTTCCGGTCGAGGGGCTAACAAACGCAGCGCCGCTTTCATACGGAATTAAAAATCGCGCAAACCCGATGAAAAGCTGGATCGACGCTGTTTCAAACTATTAATTAAATTCTGGATTTTCGGGCCGCTCGAAACACACGGGAACACGGCCTGGATCCCGAGCGATCCACGGGAGGCCGTCGCGCGGTCAAAGGGAGACCTGCTTCGCCGCGTTGAATTCGAGGCGACTCGAAAAAAAAATTATTAATTTCCCCCGGCTGGAAAAGTTGTACAAAAGATTCGCGATTCTCCATTCGCCCGGCGCGGGATAAATGACCTTTATGAGCGTTTCAATGGACGAATTTATAACGTATCGTAACGAGTCTTTGTGTCCTCCATCGATAACCCCGCGGAACGGAATCAAAGTATTCGCGCGGAAGGTTTACATTAATGCGAGAACATTGGAGCCGTTAATGAAACAGGTAATCTCGAGCGGAGAAACGCGCGCATTGTGCGTCGTTTAAAAAAAGATTGTACCCGGAGAGAAACGAGTTGAAAGCGTTCCTTTACTATATTTCCCGGTGTTCCCGCCGCGCGCGTGTACCCTCGTTCAACCGTTCCCGCGTGCAGTCCCGAGATCTCAAAAAACACGAGTGCAAGAGGAATCGCTTCCTCGACAGGAGGGTCCATTTAACGAAACAACCCTCATCACCGTAAGATCCCCCTCGGAAGCGACGCGTCCTCGAGGAATGCCGGAGCGGTCCCCTAATTGATCGCCGCTGAAAATCGATTAGAATTCCGGCAGCGTGGCGGAGGAACAAGATTAATGGAGAAATAACAGAGCGCGATCGGGGTACATTATCCCCTTTCGTCGTGGCGCAATAATGCACTTTTATCACGGCGAGGGGGGTTGGCGGGTAGCTGGCGACTGCTCGGGACGGCACAGTGGAAACGGTCGGACGATGGGTGGCGGCGGGGTGGACGCGGTGGGACGGGAGGGATGGAAGGTCGATCTGAAAGGGAAAATGGAATGACGGGAGGGTGGATGGCTCTCAGGAAGCGACGAAGAAGCGAAACGAACGGGCGGTATAAGTCCCGGTGTGTAATAGAGACAGCCGCGGTGGGACTGTCATGCGCGTCTTGTAGCGGAATAACCAATGAGGTACGCGTATCCCGGCTTACCTCATTGATTACCGGGTTCGCGCTCGTTCTAAATTTCGCATTGTGCCCGCCGCCGTCGTCGTCGTCGTCGTCGTCGTTTTCGTCGTCCTCGCGAAATATGAATCGGCGCGATTCGCCGGCACCGATCGCGCCAGGTCTAACCCCCGTCGCTGGAAGATTGATGGAAGGAAATGGAACGGCCCCGGCTGTCAGGACAATAATCTCACCCCTGGCTGTATTGCATTAACAATAGGCCACGGGGGCAGGTGAATTGAAAAGCTGCTCGGTAAATCTCTAAAGGGATGGGGCGGAGGAAGGTGGGCAGCGATGTTTCCTCGAAGGTAGCCGTCTACAGGGTGTCCCGTGGATCGAATCTAATTTTCCGATGACGTTCCTTGGTATTGACACGCGCCGCCCGCGGGCGAGGCGCGTTGATTCCGTTCGCTCGGCACCGCGGACGACTGTAGCGATAATAAAGAATCTCGGATTGTCGCGATCGATTCGGACGTGCTCCGTTTAGCGTCTTCGCTTCCGTCGACAGGGAACAGAGGCGGAGGGTAGACACTCACGCGAGCAGAGCTTAGACGGTTGACGCTTTGACTCCGCGGTGAGCTAATTTTTCTTCTCGCGAAGTATTCTCGGTGTTGTTAGCGCGCGGACGTGAATGCGCTCTTTACAGAGTATTTTGAAAAAACGGGCATTACCGGCGGCTTGATCCTTACGTCGAGAGCCTCGAGGAGCTGAAGGCGAAGTGAACGTATAATTACGTTTCTGTTGAAACGGTTCTTTTGTTGCGTTCCGCGCGCCCGCGGGCGCGTTATAAATTCACGGTCCAGAAATCACGCGCGACGGTAATTAAGATGGAAATGTTTTCCCGCGATCCGCGCCGGAATAAATAACACGCGGCTCCGATGGTCTCGTCCGACGGGCGCGCGCCGGTTGCGCCTAACTTTCGGACAACGGGTATATGATACACGCCGCGCGCTATGCTAATAGAAGATTGATGGAGCCCGGGAACAAAGGGACACGCGTAACGGCGGATAATTATTTGCGCAATAAGTTGAATCCGCCGTTGTCTCGATGCTCGCTGGAAGGGTGGATATCGCGGGAGGGTTGGAAGTCGGAAATTAGGTCATGCAAGAATATCGACGGACCGACGTAATCACGCTGCACGACGCGGCTGAAGACATCAACGAGTCACGGTCTCTCCTTTTTTTTCCCCCCCTTCCACGCCCTTTCTCGCGCGAGTTCACCGCCGCCGGCGAGGATTCTTCGAGTTTAATGTTCGGACGACCGACCGAGATACGCTCGAACGTTCCGCGAGTTAATTGACTCGGTTGGCCTTTGGCGGTCAGACAAATCCTCAATAATTCCGGGCGCGTTCCACCCTTAGCCCGAAATGCGGTCGCGGGAACGAAAATCGGTGGCTGTTCAGAAATTTCGGGAGCGGACTATCAACCGAACGTTAGACGCAATCTCGCCGTCTTTCATGTACACCGCGCGCCGGTATTCACGGATGAACGGCGCACCTGATTAGTATCTTCGTCGTTGATCATTCGGATTACCAGCGCGAAGCTGGCCGAGCGGCGCAATTCGCTCGGAAAATTACGCTGCCCGTCCGAACTTTGCATAGTTCCTTTTTGCCCGGCGACACGGCCGGGGGAGGGCCTCGTCCTTAGGGGTTGGAATCTCGGCGAGAGTCGAAACTCCCTAATGGAAGCGCCGAGGGGTTGCACGGCGCAGAACAAACTGCTCCCCGGAGTCCCGCAGCTGTACAGCTTTCTTCCCGAAGTTCTTTCGGAGGCTACATCGGATCCCCTTCCCCTCCACTTGTCCGACGGAAGCGCAGGCGAACCACCACCGGCAGCGTAAGCGCAGGCATCACCCGTTACACGACTGATAATTCCCATCAGAGAGAGGACTCATTAGCGGAGCTATACTTCCACGGCGGAGCGAGCGAGCGAGCGTGCCAATATGCACGGCTCGTGAAACACGGAAACGCGGCCGGCTTTGCGCGATATTAGCCGGCGGGATCGATAAATCGACCCGACTTCCGACCGCGGGAAACGCCGACGCGCGCGACCGCGAATTAAAAGTCTATCGCGTTCCTCGATCGTCCGGACGTCGGATCGATCGACGACGTGCAACGGATTTTTTTTTACCCTCTCCTTCTCATTGCCCTGGGCGGTTTTAGATTTTTCATTCCCCAGTCGTTGAATTCTGTAAGAAGTCCCTGGAAGTGTCGAGCTTTAAACTATTTCGTAGATTGCAACACTTTGATGTTCCCTTGGAAACAATTGCGAAGTAGCGCACTTGAATAATCGCTCGAAGGTATTATCTCATTAGCGATGAGTATATCCAAATGACTGTACGCTTGAAAAATGTACGATCGCTCGTTCGAAGCGAACACACCATTGGCTGTATCATCGAGCGAGAAAGAGAATCGTTTAAAAACCTTATTTCACCGGTGAAAGGCCCCGGGGGGTGGAGGATAAATGAAAAATTAATTAAATCTGCATCGAAGCGTTCGCTTTGTTCTATTCCGCGGCGTCGCGTGTTCCACGGAAAGTCCGATGTCCATTTAATAGACAGAGAACCGGCAAATCCTTTTGTAGAATGTATAATGTCCTCTAATCAGTCGGCGAGCGACACGCGCTATTACGGCGGGCAACTCTTTGATCCCATTCCCGCGCGGGGGAAGAATGGAGGAAAGTACCCGGAAGGGGAATAAATCGTTTGTGAAACACGCAGCCGCGGATTTTCACGGGAGAACGGGGTCGAGCGTGTACGAATAAGTTACGGCCAAGTTAAAACAAACTCGCGAAACTCGCCGGGGCCGCAGTGCCGATTGATTAATATCGAGCGCAGCTGGCGCCCGCTGAAAAACTGACTCCTCCACGCGAAAGAATCGGAGAAAGATTGGCGAAGTTCGCGGAGGACGGTCGGGACCTCGAAAAGCGAAACTCTCTCTCTCTCTCTCTCTCTCTCCTTCCTTTTCTTTTTACACAGCTTGGATTCCTGAGAATGGAAATTTAATAAAACGGAAGCCGGCGTGTGCGCTTCCTCCCGTTCCGTGTATTTTTCTCCATCCGCGGAACTCGGCCCCTCAGACGAAACGACCGCTTATAATTTCCTGTTAAAACGACCGTTACTCTAA